CGCAGGATGACCCCCCTTAAAAATTGTGCCAACAACCACGGGGTTATTGGAGACGTTCGACTTGGTGTTATTAGGGTGTTATTTTGGTGCTATTAAGATGTTATTAAAGCGTTATTAAGGAGTTATTGGGTTGGTTTGAGTGGTTATTGACGCGAACCGCATAATTACTGAAGACGCTCTGCTCGGGGTTTTAGGGAGTTAATTTGAATTGATTTGCGGGTTTATTGGTTTGCAGGTTTATTGACGCGAAACTGTGGAGTTATTCGAGATGTTCTCCACTCAGTGTTATCGAAGTTGGATTTTGGCGTTATTGAGGAGTTATTGGAGTTTGTTTGTGTGGTTGTTAATGCGGAACTGTAGAGTTATGGAAGACGTTCTCCGCTCAGTGTTAGTGGAGTGTTATTTCAGCCTTATATTGGCATTATTGGATTGTTATTGGTGTGATATCTAATATTTCGTGAAATAAATTCAAGCATATCAATCTTATCACTCTTTATCCAGTAATATCTTCTGAATGAAGTCAGCTAACTCATTGGAATCCCTTCTTATGTACTCATAACATATTCTTGAAGTTGTTGATTCAATTCAAATCTCTCAATATGAGCATTATTTAAATGTTATTGGGTTTTCATTGGGGTGGTATCTAGTATCTATTGGAAGAAATTCAATTATATAAGTCTCACCACTCTTTATCCAATAATAACTTCTGAATAGAGTCAACTAACCCATCGAGATCTCTCTCATGTACTCATAACATATTCTTATACTGTTATTTTGACATTATTGAGATATCATTGGAGTTGGTTTGAGGGATTATTAATGCGGACCAAAGAGGTATTGGAGACTTTTGCAACGTAGTGTTATTAGGGTGTTATTTCGATGTTAGTGGGGTGTTATTGGAGTCTTTTTGCGGGGTTATGGACGTGGACTACTGAGTTATTGGAGATGTTCCGCTCGGTGTTATTATGGTGTTATTTCGACATTATTGGGATGTTATTAGAGTTGTTTTGCGGGATTATTGACTCGAACCACAGAGTTATTTGAGACGTTCTCCGCTCAGAGTTATTGGAGTTTGTTTACGGGGTTATTATTGTGGCACCGCAAAGTTATTGAAGATGTTCTCCGCTTGATGTTATTGGGATGTTATTTCGGTGTTAGTGGAGTGTTATTGGGGTGGTATCTAACATCACTCCTATCACACTTTATCCAGAAATAACTAAGTTATTAGTCAGATTATATTTACCGAAGATACAGTTGATCTTTGCCCACTCATATTAATGTTGCTACATAGATGCCAAATTATTTAATTCATGCAATTATGCAAATATGAGATAAAACTGATGCAATTAAGAAATTCTGAAAAACTGAATGTAAGCAAATCATAGTAGTGCATAAGTAATGCTTGCAGTATTGTTAGATTTAATATACTTACTTTTTAGACATAATTCCATCAAGGGAATAATGCATTTGAATATTTTCTGCTGAATTAATTTTCACGTATGGAATCCATCATCAGGTTGTTATATGATTCCGTGGGTTGTAGTGTAAACCAATTCTGCAATGTTGGAATAAGCTTGAGTGAATGTTTATGAACGTGTAACAAAAAAAAAAGGAAAACAAAAACATAATGATGTTCACTTTCGTTTATATACTGACCTGTGTGAGAAAATCAGGGATTGAACACAGGTTTGGATCACATGGGACTGGTCTTGGTTCTTAACTGGATGAAGCTTCTTTTTCCTTTCCTGTGTATCATGATTAGTGTTAGAAATTGTTACCTAAAAAATAAAACTCACATCGGAATAGAAGGAATATACTTTTCACTTTCTTGTTCTTCTCCCAATACCCTTTAACCTGGAATTAGATATTCCCTTAGGGCGCATCATCTTTGGGTCATTCAAGTTGAATTCATTATTCACTAGTTTTTTATTCTTTCTTGATTGTTACCTAGTCTCAGATCCACTGCCACATATTATGTCATCAACATCCAGTGATAATTTTTTCAAATATTCCAACATACAGTACTCAGCTGCTTCATTCTTCTATGATTTAGTACTAATATGATATGCAAACTTTTGAACATGTGTGTGAAATATGATGCCACGGGAATTAGCATTCCACATTTTTGCCTCTTGGATACGCTTATGTCCAAAACTGTTATAAATATATCTTCTTACATGAGTAAACCATCTCAACAATCGAATATCTTCTTTACATGTTCAAAGTTAAGCACTCCTATAGAATGAGCACATAATTACCCCATCATTTCAATTTTTTTGGAGTTGCACTCAATCTCAGAACTGGACTTATCAAAATTAACAACGCAAAGTTTGTTTTTCAAGTGATCATCCAAATTCTTGATGAAATATTCTGAATCACTATTTACAGAAAATTCTAATTCAAAACAACATGACCCGCGTAAAAACTCTTCCTCAAACATTTAGTACAACTTCCTAGAATAAAATAAACCTTCCTTCCTTAATATTGGGCTGCTTTTGGCGACCGGAGAAATTACAGACTGGTCACACTTGAAATCCTCTTCCTTCTCATCTGTCTCGATGTTCTCATGACATTTTTAAGGCCCAAAAAATAATCAGAAAGAGAACTTGTGGGCTTTGAGATACCATGAAAAATATTATTGGTGGACCCACTTCTGTGTGTCGATAAAATTCTCATTAAAAAATTTTCTTTATTAAAAATTGTTGACCACTTATGTCTAATACTGTACAAATCATCTAGCCACACATTGTCGTGTAGATTTTGTTTCTCAATCATCATAGCCCAGATATGTTCAAGCTCCTCTTCAGAGTAGCTTTTGCTCATGCATTTATAAAAAATATCATTTACTGTCATATCACCCACCTCACAGTGAACCTTGGAAGGAAATTTTATGTATGTCACTGGCATAATCTATGTCGTATTTTCGGCAAAATATCTTCTATGGTTCTTGTCATTGCTTGGTCCTGATCAATATAGATTTTTATTGGATGTTTATTATCCATGATATGGATAAATGTTTTAACTAACCATGTGAACGAATCAATCGTCTCATCTGACAAGAATCCAACTCCGAAAAGAATATTTTGCCTATGGTGGTTCACACCAAGGATAGAAGCACAACATAAATTATATTTATTAAGTCTATAACTTGTATAAAAAATAATGATATCACTAAAAGAAATCAAAATCAAGTCTGGACGTGCCGTTATTCCAGAAAAAAAAAACTCAATAGCTTACTACTCTCATAAATTTCGAAGTCTCATACAAACATACTATCCTCGGCTGTCTCTACATGAATAATTGCAATACAAAATTAGTGCCGCCACTTTTAATTCGAGATCTTCTCTCTCTTTGAATGAAATTGAAGACATCTCTCTTCTTACCTTCAATATTCTCCACTCCCCCAACTTCTGTAGCAAAAAAATTAAATACATCTGTAGCACTGATACCTCTGATTATGTCATGGATCTGAGTACATATGTATTGATTTCGTTTATCTTTCTATTGTAACGCAGAAGATGTTTATCACCAGGGTTCGCTAGAGAGTGGTTATGAGTTTCTATAAAATTTTTAACTATCCAGTTACCTTCAATATCAAATGCGTTTTGAATTATTGTTGGACAACCAGTCCTTGTGTCCGCTTTTTATATTTGACAGTCTCAGTGATCTTTAACTCTTTTTTGAAATCTACTTTACCACATACGAAGTCCTTCATCTTAATATTCCTTGAGTTCAGCAGAAATTAGTGTGCTCCTTTCAAATAGAAAATTCAATATGATTAGCATAAACACAATATACTTTGTGTGCTTCTTTTTCATTGTGAACAATAATGTGAAGTAATATGTTTGTAATTGGCTCAGCAATTATCTCCAGTCTCACCAAACCACACAGTAGAGAATGCTGATCTTAAAATTTTCATAATAAGACTTTCCTAACTTCAAAAAAAAATCACTTAAATAACACCATAGTAACACAACCCTAAACCCTAATGAAACCATAAAAACAGTTCATAAATAACTCGAAAACCCTGAACCCTAAAAATAATAACGCGGTCTAATAATAACACAATACGACAATAACACCAAAATAATGCTACAATTAAATACTAATAATAACAATACTCTAAAACCACAATAACAAAAACATATAACACCTCAAAAACAATTAAAAAAAACCCCTAAAAAAATAATAATACATATGATACTCACTTCTGTTTCCAACTCATGCATTTCTCTGTTTGTAGGATAAATCTCCCCCATTTCATACATCAAATCACAATTTTCAAATTCCATCCGGCTGCGAGAGATGAACTCCTAAAGCCCAAAGCCCTAGCAGCTGTTCCCGCCGAAAACCTTCTTTAGCCGAAAATGATTATGAATGATTAAAGTCAACTACGGGAAAATTTTATTTTTCGAAGCATCGAGATTAGTTCGAGCCAGGTCAGACGTTAAAAAAAACCCTTTTTTTAATTTTTAATAGGTGAGACCAAAATTTACACGTGACAGAATTTTATTGGATTCCGCACGCAATGCTGCATCCAAACTTCGTAGGGAAATTTTTTTTCGTAATAATTACTTGTAGCATCTCTATTAAAACAATGACAAATATGTAACAGTACTAGATATTCCTAGAATCTATAAATAGGATGTCATTTTTTTTAGAAAGATCTACTGAATTTAACCTCTAGGAACATGTGTTACTCTATATTTTATTTTTCTCTATTTTTTTCTCTCATTCGTCCATCACTTTATACCTTGGATATAATCCACGAGATATTTTTGGATTCAACATGAGAGACTCTTATAAATATGATGTCATTTCTTCAAGAAAAGACTATTGAATTTACTCGCTCAGAATTTTTGTTATTGTATACTTTCTATCTATATTTTTTTTTCATCCGTCCGACGCCCTAAAACTTGGTTGTGATCACTAGGACATGTTCGGATTCAACACATATATATGTAAAAATTAAAGTTTAGGTGTTAGATATATAAAAACATAAGAATTGAGGGTATGCTTGTAAATCGCCCTTTCTAAAAAACAAATAATTGAACCAAAATAGATAGATTTCCATAAATGCTGCTGCATATAACAGTTTACTTAATATTTACAATGAATCAATGATAAGCAGAGCTGCTGAGGACTAAGCACAACATGGTTAAGGAAACATTAAAACCTGTCAACTTCTTCTCAAACGACTTGAGACGCTCAATCCACTATTATACATCCTCTGAATTTCTTCTCTGTATTCCACCAAAGACTTGTCAGGGATGGCAGGTGTTAGCTCAACTACGTCCCCCATCTTCAGCTTCTGAGAGGGATCGCTCACTGGCTTGTGGTTTAGTTTAGGCCTCAGCTCCTCCTTGAAAGGGAACGAACATGAGCTCCATCTTGTGCCACCTCGCCCAGCTTTTTCAAGTACATCCATCACTGTTGACTTCTCTGGGAGTTCATGGACAGACATCTGAAGAGATTCATATGAAAGTGTCGAATAAATAGGCCAATGAAGCGTTAATGCTGGGAATCAAAGCTAAAAGCATCTAATTGCTGTTCCTGGTAATAATAAGAACAAAGTTGACAGGAGGCTGAGGAATGCTAGAGATTTATGCCTGCCTAACTACCAGTTTTAACCAAAGGATGGAATGTGAACAAGAGAATGGTACTTAAAACTAAATCAAGCATAGAAACAAATCAGAAAAACGTTTTAAGATCCGTGGGACTTCACAAACGGGTTAAACAAATTATTTAAGCTATTGAGGACTGACAAGGAAAGAAAAAGATCTCAGTTCAAGTCATGACATTAGATGCCATAAGATAAAGATATGAAAGGAGGAGAAAAGTAGCTATAGTAAGATGAAAATAATGAAAGTCCACGGCCACGACAATGATGCCTAATCTAGTCGATTTTGTGAACAAACATTTTTTTCCAAGATTTGAAGTTAAGATGTTCAGGCATAGAAGGAACTAATCATTGATACAAAGCAACCAAAAAAATTGCATAAAAGGCCTTGAAATATGCGTAGAGATTGCGTGGATGTTCAATTTTCCAAGTTCAGAATGCCTACACAGAAGCCTTACCTTTTCATTCTCAAGCACGATGACATAAACAGGCCCATCACGATCTGTCTGCTGGGAGTAGGAAAAAGGGCAATCATCAGAATGAGAAGGAAAAGGACATGATTGCGTAGAAGCTGAGCGGCCACCAAAAGAAGCAGCCTGGTCATCCTTCATGGTTTCCAACTGCCAAGTGACCACCCATCTAGCCCATTCCACCATTTGGAGCACAAAAGATGAGTGCTCACAGTCTCCTTCTTTATATCTCCAGTGCGCAGCAAATCCAAACTCTGCCTGCAGATGCATCTCCTTCGTTCTGATTTGAACTTCAAGAGGGATGCATTCCTTGCTCATAACAACAGTGTGCAAAGATTGATACCTGCAAGATAACCACAATCATTATGTTTTGAACAGCAATAAAGTTGAACAATAAGAATTCAAGATTGTTACCCATTAATCTTTGGATGGGTTATGTAGTCTTTGAATCTTCCACTAATTTTGGGCCATAAACTATGAACAACATTGAGTGCTGCAAAGCAATCTTCCTCCTTCTCAACAATCAAACGCAAACCATGAATGTCATGGATCTCATCCATATGGAGCTTCTTTCTGCAAAATGGATTCCAGCTTGTCTTAGGAAATTTTTTTTTGCAAAGAATACAGGTGAAAAATATCTTTGAAATACGTACTTTAGCATCTTACGGTGAATGCTGTACAAGCTCTTCTGCCTACCACAGAGAGTATGATAGGACACACCTTCATCTTTAAGACCCTTCTCTAATTTCTCTATCGTTGATTGAATCAATTTTTCATCAAAATGAGTCTCAAGTTCAGAAGAAAGCTCAGCGTACAGATCAGGATGGAGATGTTTAAAGCACAAATTCTCAAGCTGTTCCTTCCAAGTAAATATCCCTAATCTGTTGGCTAAAGGAGTGAAAATTTCCAGAGTTTCCATTGCAAACCTCTGTTGCTTAACCAAAGGTAAAGCGTCAAGTGTCATCATGTTGTGAAGTCTGTCCGCTAGCTTTATGAGAACTGCTCTTGCATCTGCCATGGCTAGAAACATTGTGTGCAACCGGTCCGCCTCAATGGTTCTACTTGCAGTGTTGTTATCACGAGCAAGCTTGCTCAACTGACTAAGTTTAGAGACCTGAAATAAATAAAAGAAAAGACTTTCAAAACTTCATATTTTCCGATCATCAACAATTTACCAAGATACATGAAATTCCTTCTAGAGAAGAAAAAAGCTTACCCCTTCAACTAAATCAGCTACTCCAGCACCAAAAACTCGAAAAATGTAACCATAACTCATAAAAGAATCATCAACAGAATCATGCAGCAGGCCCGCAGCTACAACCAAGGAATTCGCACCAATATGTGCCAACAACACTGCAGTTTCCACGCAATGCTGCAAGTATGGATCGCCGGTCGCTCTTACCTAAATTAAATATTTACAACAGAAATCTATCACTCTAAAAGAAAATATCAGAGAAAAACAATCTTCAAACAAAGGGAAAAACACAAACTCAACTCACCTGCCCCCTATGAGCCTTCTCAGCCTCAAAGAAAGCCTTAATTACAATATCTTCATGAAAGATCTTATGCCTGGATTGAGCTCCTGAAAGCAATCTCAAAGCATAAGGCTCGCAATTCCGAGGAAAGTTATGGCGAAAACTGTCCTCAAAACTAAAGTCGAGCTCTTCCTCCTCAATTAAGCCACCGGGCATTGGAAAGCTAGGAGAGTCATAATCCAAGCACGAACCTAGGGCGTGCCTTACAAATCGACTAAAAATCCGGTCCCTCCCCGCCTTCCACTCGCCAGGAGGAACCCTAATCGATGGCGGGCTTCTCGACTGGCTACTTCCGGAGCTGCAGGAGACAGGACCATGGAAGACAGAAACAGGGCTATGGTCCCGGCATTTGAAGGAAGAGGATGAATAGGAAAAGGAGCAGCTGAGATCGTCGCAGCGATCTTGTCGGAGAGAGCTGTGCTCCTCAAGTGAGGTAGATATGCCCGCGGATGATCGGGAGGTGGTTGAGGAGAAAAGGCAAGAAAGGCCGCCGGAGATCGGCCGCTGCGTCGTGGAAGAAGGGCGGGAATTGAGGTCGAGATCTACCGTACAGATGCCGCCCGGCGGACCCGAGTAGAGGGTGATTGCTGGCACCGACATGGACGTAGTTGGATAAAGAATCAAATTGTATTTTTGTTTTTCGGAGTAATACGAGGACCAAATGGAACGTCCAGCCGGAAGATGATTCAGAGAACCAAGGCGCAAAGACGATCTTTTCAAGACAGAGCGAGGCGGCGTACGTGTGATTGTCAACGAATTTGGATTCCGTGTTAGAGGGGAGGCAACAAATTGATGGCGATTGGAGTAGAATCCGTGGAAGGAACCCTAAGTTCTAGGAAGGAAGAACGGAAAAGTCGACAGGGCACGAGTGTGAATTGGGAGCCCGGAGTATTCTCCCCGAAGTTAAGGTTCCTTGAGCCGACGGAAGAGAAGTACAGTATGTTGCTTTGCGGCTTGGTTGTCATGTAGATATAATTTGCGTGTGATGCAATTCTTTAACATAAAAGTCATAAAATATTTAAAAAATCACTGAAGCAATTATTTGATAAAATATGTGGCCGACAACAAAATAATAATAATAATAATATTAATAATATGTATCTCAAATCAGCCCATAATTGGGGCTGATCTCGTTTTAACTTGGGTTTCGCTGTAGATTACTTTATTCAAATTTCGATTCAAAATCAACTTATAAGCCAATATTAATGATAGAACTGTTAACATGATTTATTAATTTTCTAAATTTCAGCAATTTTGGATTCGAATCTGAAGCTTTCATAGATTTTTTTAGGGTCTTTTTAGGGAAAAAAAATATTAGATCAAGACCCCACACGTAACGTAGAGTTACGTGCGGAGTCCAATGAAATTACACCGTGAATGTGATCGGCCCGGTAACACAAGGGATATTGCTCTCGTGTTATTCATGTGTTATTGTGTGTCATTCAGATGTTAATGTATGTTATTCAAGTGTTATTGTGTTCTGGGAATATATTCAAGTGTTATTGTGTTATGAGAATATTCCCGGTGTTATAATAACACAATAACACATCAATAATACTTGAATAACACACAATAACACATGAATAACACACAAAACACATGAATAACATGAGGGGAATATTCTTTGTGTTATTGGGTCGATCACCTCCACGGCGTAATTTCATTGGACTCCGCACGTAACTCTATTTGTGGGGTCCTAATGTAAGATTTTTTCCTCTTTAGGACAACGTGAAGCAGCTTAAAAATTATTAAAAAATTCGCTGATATTCTAAAAGTTGTTGTCGTTATTACAAAAAAAAAAAAAAAATTTTTTTTTTTTAAAATCATAACACAACTTTTTAGTAGCCAAGTAGCCATGTCTTGTAAGAAAATGTTGATTTAAAAATTTAAAAAAAAAATCAGAACGCAACTTTCTAGTGGCCAAGTAGCCATGTCTTGTAAGAAAATGTTGATTTTTAGCTTAAATTTTTCAGAACTCAAAGGTAAAGCTGTCTTGCAGCTCTACACCGCCACCGCACTATTGCCCAAAAGCACACTTAGACACTGATGCTTATCTCTGATTTACGTAAAATATTTAAACTTGATGATAAATCGGGCTCAAATTTGACCCATTTGTAAGTCTTTTTTTTCTTCAATGTTGAGTGTAATCTGCTTAAATTGAAATAATTTATAGTTAATCCGAACAAACACAATTTTTTAATGTAATTTTTTTGGTGTAAAAGGCACTCAAAATTAAATTAAAACCTTTTAATTTATTTTAGAAGTTCCAATTCCTGCACATTTGTAATCAAGTAATGATGTACAATAATGTGAATTTAATATGAATAAAATTGCGAGCATATTACCACCCGGAGTTAAGATGAATTAAGCTGAAAATGAACGATAAACTAGTACAAAGGGAGCAACCAACCCCCATCAAGCTGAAGGCATGCCAAAGGAGCATTATGCTTAAAATGATATTAGTATCTGCAGATTATTCCGAATGATTCTAGATAAATTGGCCAAATTATGTGATGTCAAATGAGCACACAATGGCTTGTCCAAACTTGCTCAAATTTAGAAGAAACTCGGTCAAAGCGACAAACGAAGAACTTAACTCGTCATGACCAATGGAGAACTTGCTACACTTACGTTAATGGGCACTGTGGACTTGCTAATAAACTTAGTGACTCATGTAAGGGTCACTCATCTAAACATATTACGAAGTAACTCATCCAGACTACAGAGTTACTCGCCCAACTATGGAAGCACCCGCTCAATCTTTTAAAGTTCATGACCTAGCCTGTTAGGTCACTCTTCCAACCAATAAGTTAACTTATGCAAGTTGTATAGTAATTCATCTAGTTTATAGAGTGACTCATCTAGCCTATAAGGTTTCTCATCCAACTTGCAAGGTCCCTTTGTTAGAACTAAAAAAATCACATTCAATTTTGAGAGAAATAAGCCATAGATTAGCGGAAGCGTACCGGAATCCATTAGATCGATTGCACAAGATATGATCTTCCAATCTGCAGATTTTCCAGATTTTCCTTAGTTTCTTGTTGATGGGGTGCAAGAGAAGGGATGTGTCTCTCTACAAATTGGGGACCATCACCCTTTGAAGTAACTACCAGGCGGTTACAAAAAAGTTTTGCTTAATTCTAATTCTACCTCTCATCAAATTAGAATTTGCACTTATGGTATCCACACTATAATATCATGACAAATGTGCCCAAAGTCATAAACTTAATTCTAAATTAGACCACAATAATTTTGACTTATTTAATGATGACCCAACACATTTATTAATTACATTGTAGTCCCAAAATTAATCCAACAATCTCCCCCTAGACTACATATGTATAAGATAAATGTGTCAACCTTAGTGCGCCCAAAATTTTGTCATCATCATTATGAAGACACATTACAATCTCGTCCATTAATTATATCAATACAGGATCAAAGCAGTCTTCGTTGTATCTGTCACAACTAAACCCATCAATGGTCACATATATCAATATAATCAAATGACATAGATCAATCATGAATGTGTGGAATGAAAATTACATGCAAGGTGGTCTGTCCATGTCAATTTTCAACTGGTCCTACTTTACTTAAGTGAGATCGAACCGTAACTATACAGAGTGCACTGAACTGAATAAAATACCTCATTTCTGATCAGAAAATATCCAAATATATCTTGTACACAAAATAAAACATAAAACTATAAAACACAAGTTAACAAACTC